TCCTAAGTCTCCCCCTCCATCCAGCCACTAGACTGGGCATGTCTGTGTCTTGTGAGAAGGGCCCAACTCCTAGTTAGCAGAGAGGAGGACAGCTAGCTATGCTGGGAAGTAGAGTCAAGGGTCCAGGTATGAGGACAGGAAACTCACATCAGTAACATTGACGACTCCTATTTGCGGGGCTGACAAGTCGATGTCAAACGTCTTCTCCCAGTATGGGACCAGCTGTAGAGAGATCCAAATATGGCAACTTAATGGATGCTAGGAGCACAGGAATCCAGGAGGATGAGTGCGAGGGTCAGCCCAGGGATGGAGATGGGACAACATGAACTGGCAGTGGATGGGGACAGGTCCAGCTGTGAGGGCATCAAGGCAATGGGTAGAACTAAACAGCGAAAAAGGAGAAATCCTAAAGGGAGAGCATCGGGAGGGTCAGCCAGGCATACTGGCCCCTCTTTTCTAAGGAAAACTAGATAGGAAACCCTGTTCTGATCCTGGATCAGATCCTTGTGTTCAAGGTCAAGTCACTTCTCTCTGGCCCTCCGATCTTACATTTCTGAAATAAGGCAAGTATACCTGGTAAGTGCCAATGCTTCTCACGTTTCTCTTTGTTCTTTCAGCTACTCATTCAACAATGAGTGCTAGGTGTTAGGAATGTAGCTGAGAACAAAATCATCTCCTGAAACATGGAATCTCTGTGCTATGATTCTATGATGGAGTGTGTAGAGCCATATGCAGGGCTATTGTGCCTCAAAACACTGGTTTTCTTTAGGAGTCAGCCCTAGCACCTGAGCTTCTGCTTCTGGGAATCGTGTGTGATGTCCCGTCCTATTTCCCCTTGCTCAGGATGCCCTCCATGCCAACAGTGCCCTTAAGCATGCAACACACATACCCTCCCAGGGCCCCCCAGCTAGAAGCTGGGGATAGGAACTCTGAAACAAAGCCCTCACTAAGAAGATGCCACAGTTCAAGTCCCTGCCTTAGGATAGCAGTGCCTGAGCTGTGCCTCTTACCAGGGGGAAGTCATCAGGGTCAATCCAGATGATGCTAAGATCTGGGTTGTCAGTGTTATCTTGGGCCACAGCCTTGAGAGTCTCTAAGAACTCGAAACCATCTTGGAGGGAACACAAGTGCAAGGTGTGAGGTGTATGAAGAGGAAAGGGACCCAGATGAAACAGGAGTGCAGAGCTACCTCCCTGCTCCCCAAGCTTCACATGTCTAGCCCTAGGCTGTTTGCAAACTCCCAGGAAAACCTCCGAGTGTCCAACCCAGTATTCCTCCCTCACCAGGATCAGCTTCCTCTGCGAAGGCCACAATGTGGATTCCATCCATATCATCCTCCTGTCGGGTGGTAAGAAGGAGAACAGGGTTTTGGAGAAGACCTTACTATACTCCCTGAAGTTGGGGAGCCCAGAACAGATCCTAGATGTTCATTGAACCTCAATTTTGTGGAAGTCCAGCTTCGGGACCAGATATATTCTTTTGTTTTCTGGTTTTGTTTTGTTTTTTTTTTTTTTTGAGACGGAGTTTCGCTCTGTCGCCCAAGCTAGAGTGCAATGGCACGATCTCGGCTCACTGCCACCTCTGCCTCCCAGGTTCAAGCGATTCTCCTGCCTCAGCCTCCCGAGTAGCTGGGATTACAGGCATGCGCCACCACACCTGGCTAATTTTGTATTTTTAG